TGTGTAGAAATAATAAGTTTTGGCTGCTGCAAACAGATTCTGAATATTGCTCGTTTCACTTTGCACCTCTCTGGAAGTATCAAATGGATTTATCTACTTGGCATACACCAAGTGCTTTGATGCTTGCTGATGGGAAATCATAATCTTATTTTAGAACGTTAGGGGTTTCTATAAGCTCTAGGAAATCTTTCTTTAAAAAGTTTGCAAAGTTTCTGAGGAGACTTTTGTGGTCCTTTAAAAAGTGGCAATGTTGTAATATATTGTGTCAAGTTGATAGGCATTTGGCATCATGCAACCTATGTTTTTTAGGAATGGACAAGCAGGCCAATTTTGAGCTGGATCTAGAGTTTGGATCAGGATCCAGATTTTGAATCCCTTGAAATCTGAGTGATTGGATCCTGAGTTTGGGGTAAAGACAGTCTCTAAACAAAGCAAGAACCAACTTTGTTTAGGTTCTTATCCCACAAACACTTATTTTTATGCCTTTGAGTAGTCTCACTGATGGCAATGAGACTATTCACATGTATGAAATTAAGCACATGCATTCGTGTCTGCTGGAATGTAGCCTTTAAACTGTAAGGATGCAGTTGGAGTAGGGACCAGGTCTGCCCGCATTTGTACAACACCTAGCACCATGGGACAGATCCAGCTGGTTGTCTCTGGGCATGGGCGGCGGGTATCACAGGCTGGGGGAGGGTCTACCCAAACAGCCAGGCATGACCCCTGCCATGCCCCCCGCGCCTGCTCTTCCCCTGTGCCGTGGCTGTTTGGGGAGGCCCTCTGGGGCTGGGGGCGCTCTGGGACTGGGGCTGTGCTGCCTGCCCTCCTGGTACTCGGGGGCTGGGGCCGGCACTCTGGGGCTGGGGGGGGGCAGGTTGGGGCCACGCTGCCAGCCCAGTGTTCCGGGGCTGGGGGCGCTAGCCTGGGGATGGACTGGTGGCCGCGGTGGGGGGCTCTGGGCTTTGGTGGGTGGGGGAGGAGAGGCGTGGAAGGGGGGGGAGAGGCATGGAAGGGGCGGGGTTAGCCTCCCCCAGCCAGCAGTTCATGCTCTGCCCATGGTCTCTGGGTTATTAATTGGTTATTAAATGATAACACTAATACTTGAAACTCCACCCCAAACTCAGTCCAAATCTAAACTACCAGTGCATTAGACTAACTTTTTTTATGCTGCTTTTCATTTTTACATTCCTTTGCCAGTACCTATCTGGTGAAATCCATAACAAGAGGCTGCTCCCATGTTTTTCTAGCTCACCTGAGTGTAAGAAGTACCAGAAATGTTATGATGCTGTCTGTGTTCATCATATTCCAAACCATTCTTTGCAGACCAAAGAGAGTCAGATAGGGTTCCGATAAGCTTTAGAACTGCTAGCTGCTTCTCAGAGCAAACTCATGAACATTTTGAGGTTCGCCCTCCACTAGCTGTTAACTAGTGTGACAAAGCTCCTCCTCTGCCTTGGTGGGTCCTGCGCTTACTGGTGGATTTACTCGCCTCAGGGATTCACGGCAGCCCTCAGTTTGGCCACCTTCTATCACTCTCCTGTAGCCATCTGGCCTGACCCTGTCACACTGGGGGCAACTTTTCATTTTATCTCATAGTCAGATTGTTTGCAAAAGCTCATTATAAACTCTCCTCCCCTATATGAGTTCCAGCAAGGGCCTGCACTATACGGTACAGACGAGAGAGATCAGGCCACTCACATATCACATCCAGCTTAATACTAAGGCCTGGATCCTGCCAATGTAACTTTATTACCATGAGTAGTCCTGTTGAAATGAAGCACATGCACAAGGGACTGCAGAAACAGGGCCTACGGTCTTGGTTCTACAACTCCTATCTGTGCCTAGTAGCTGTTCCATTGGCTTCGGTGGGGCTACTTGTTAGGAGAAGCCTCCCTGTCTATACGGTGTGCAGGAGACTCTCTGTGATGCCTCAGATTAAAGAAAAAAATTAAATCATCTGAAAATTTAGTTGCAAACCTCCTGAAGATCCTGGTTGCCAGAAAAATATGTTCTGTTCTGAGAGCAACCGCATGCCCAAGACTGATGGGCCTCATGCTGCAGGCTGGCTGTCCTTAGAGTCATTTACCTTTGTGTGACTTGTAATTTCAGAATATCTGAAGGGTTTGGGGACTGGTTGGGGGATAAAGGGACCTTTCTTCTTTACCGTTCCTTTTGTAAAATTCTATTTCCCGCTCCCCTTAAAGATCATGAGGTTTGCAGGGGCGGTCTCTGGCAAGGCAGCTATCAAACGACGAGGAGTTTTTTTCCTTCTTTAGATACTGCTTTGATCCCAAATAAAGTGTCTGTTCCTTTAAATAGTGTGAAGAGCCCTTTTTTTTATCCCCAGCCTTTAGATGAGAGAGATCGATGCTTCCCCTCTCTCTACCCCGAGAGACAGCAGGGGGAGTCGTTGTCTTCTGACTACGTGGTTTCAATCTTACTTTGTTTTCTTCCACAAGTGAAATCAGGTCAGGCTCAGAACCCATGGCGTGAGCTATTTAGATAATGAGAAGTTAGTACTTGGGGGGGCTTTGGAAGCCTTTAGTTCATAAGAACCAGTTGAAATCAAGGAGCTCTTGTTCTATGGGATATTCCTTGATGCAGAGGTCTGGTTTTGAAAAGCTTAAAACCTTTCCAGGAATGAGCAGAGCCTTGTAATTAGGAATGGAAGAATGCAGGAGCCAAATTGTTCTCTCTGTTTCCCTTAGTGTAAATCAAGGATAACTGCAGAGAAGACAATGAAGTTACACCAGGGTAACCGAGAGCCCAATTTCGTACTGTGTTTCTGAGTCAAAATGTAGTCATAGAATCTGAACCACAATCCTTAAAATGTATAAGTAATGCAGCAAGCGGGTAATATTCCTTTTGGAATAAATGTGGCAATAGTGATATAATAGTAATACTATTCACTTATAGAGCTCATCTCAGTAAAGAGCTCAAAGCACTTTTCAGACAGCTTTACTCTTTGAGATATGTATTATGCTCATTTTACAGAAGGGAGACTGAGACACAAACAGATGAAGCAACTCGCCCAAGGTCACATGGCAAATCAGTGGCAGAGTCAGGGTAGTTTCCAGCCTCACCATCCCAAGCTCTAAGAACGAGACACACTGGTTCTGATTCTCCAATGCCCTGCTCTCTTTGTGGTCACTTACACCAGATCTGAGTGGTTGCATTTTAAACTCACTCTGCAGTGGCATAACCAACTATACGAAGTGGAGAGCCGTGGAGACCGAGGCTCATTGCCTGTGTTTATACGGCCCCAATTACCACAGTATCGGAGCATCACACAGTCCTTAGTGTATTTATCCTCACAACACCCCGATGAGGTACGGAAGTACTATTGTCCCTATTTCACAGATGGAAAACTGCGGCACAGAGAGGAAGTCTTTAGCAAAGCAGGAAATTGATCCTGGATTTCCTAGGTTCTAGACTAGAGCCTTTACCACTGCACCATCCTTCCTCTAACTATGTGAGCACTGTTTTCTCTGATGTTTTCGTAGAACGTCAATGGCTACAGAATACAGTCTGGAGCAGGGCTCCGATGGTTAAAGGTCAAGGCTTAAAACATGGTGGTACTTTCAGGTGACTAGCAGGGCCGTTCACTGAGATCAGCATGAAGCGGTCTCCGAAAGTACCCACTGCTAAATACTGGGCACATGCATGCTCATACTGTGTGGAATCTCCTCTGGATGTCATCCTCTCATACCTGACTGATATTCATTGAGTGGCAATCAGGGAAGGGGGAGTACCCTAACCGCTCTGATGATAGAAGAGAGTTTGGCCCCAGAACTTCGCTGTACAGAATCAGGGAAACTCTTGAAGCACAGAGCTACTGCTATATATTGCAGCTGTATGAGCAGCAGCTGCGTTTAGTAGATAGAGCACTGGAGTGGGAGTCAGGAGACCTGGAAGCTATTCCTGGCTCTGCCACTGGCCAGGTGTGTGATCTGAGGAAAGTCACTGCCGCTCCGTTTCTTGTGTCTGTGTAAACTGTCCGTTCTCAGGAACTGTCTCTCAGTCTGTGAACAGCACCTAGCACAATGGGTCCCCAGTCTCAGGTCGGACCTGGCGCTACTATAATAGAAATAATAAATATCAGTAATTATTAATAATGAACACTGGGTTAAAGAAGAGGGCATTCTGAGTGATGGGATCTAGCACTCATCCAAGTCAGACCAGACACATCACCTCCTCCATATATTGCTGGCTCAGACTATTTTAAAGATCAGGGTACCCGAGCCTGCTCCTCAGCCATTCCCCAAGAAAATAATTTTGTGCTTTCTACGCCATCAGGCTGGCTAGACCCTTAAAAACAGACATCTCGTTAAAACACCACACTTGACTAATATCATACAGTGCTGCATTGCTACAGTGTTCTGAGCATTGCTATTGAGTTCTATAAGGGGAGATCAGACACATGTAAATAGACATCCTGGCCCCACGGAAGTCAATCCCATTGTCTTGAATGGGGTAAGGATTTCACTCCTAAAGGCTTGTCTACACTACCCGCCAGATGGATGGGCAGCGGTCAATCCAGCAGGAGTCGATTTATCGTGTCTAGTATAGACGTGATAAATCGACCGCCGATCACTGTAGCGTTGACTCCAGTACTCCACCTCAACAAGAAGTGCAAGGGGAATCGACGGGAGAGCGTCTCCCATCGACACACCGCAGCGAAGACCCCGCAGTAAGTAGATCTAAGTACGTCGACTTCAGTTACGTTATTCACATAGCCGAAGTTGCGTAACTTAGATCGATCTCCCCCCCCCCCCACCCCCGTAGTGTAGACCAGCCCTAAGTGTTACCTTCCACCTGGTGCAACTTACTGTACACTTGTCCCATCCTCTGTGCCAGCAATTCTTGGGAGGTCAATTGAAAATTAACACAAGCTTCATTTTTGAAAGGATAGGCGAAGAAGAGGAGAGCTGGTGTTTGGTGACAGAAAGGTGGGCGAGGAGGAAGCATCTAAACCAAGGCTTTGTTGTTTCATCTTTTAGGAAGCTGAGATCCTGAACACAGCGATTCTCACTGGGAAAACTGTGGCTGTCCCTGTCAAAGTGGTCTCAGTGGAGGAGGATGGGACCGTGACTGATCTTCTAGAATCCGTGGAGTGCAGATCGTCTGACGAAGACGTAATTAAGGTGAGAATCTATCATTTAATTAAGGGAAGGCCACATCCCTGCAAGAAATGCTGCCAGTAGTGTTCTCTGACCTGCCAGGGTCTGTTCTGTGTGGCTAGTTTAATCCTTTCCTGACTATCCTTCCATTAAAAGACAAAGAATTATTATCATCATTGTAATGTATAGACTGGTGCACTGGACCTATTAAAACACACTGAAAACCCCAAAACTCCACCCGGAATCTTGGGGTGTGTTTGTCAAAAATAAAAAAACAGATAGGAGGCCAGTGATTGACAGGGCACAGCAGGGTCCTGACCACACCCCTGCACCTGTAAGTCTATTTTAGCTCTACACCCACAGGTGATTCATCTACGCTGGGATGACTCTGTCCTGGCTGGCTATGCTGGCTTCAGGGCAAAGTTAGGACAAACTCTGATGCAGGGGAGACTCTTACCTAAGGACTTTGTATTTGCGTAACTTGCCGTTCTCTCCCCTGGGTGTAAATCGGGAGTAGCTCTGCTGGGGTTAATGGCATTCCAGCATGGTAAAAGCGCAAGGGCTAAATTCTGCTCTCAGTTCAATGGAGTTGAATCAAGCAATGGGGCTACACTGGGGTAACTGACAGCAAAATTGGTCACTGAATGGCCAGAAGACAGTGAAAGAAAGTTTGTGTATTGGTAAGTGTAACTTACACCCCCTACCCTGGGGGGGGAGGGATAGCTCAGTGGTTTGAGCATTGGCCTGCTAAACCCAGGGTTGTGAGTTCAATCCTTGAGGGGGCCATTTGGGGATTTAGTTGGGGATTGATCCTGCTTTGAGCAGGGGGTTGGACTAGATGATCTCCTGAGGTCCCTTCCAACCCTAATAATCTATGATTCTATGATACCCTCTTATTAGCTGTTTTCTCTGGTTTCATCCCTCTCTTCCAATCCCGCAGTGGGTGTGTCCACACTGCAGCTGGGAGCAACCCTCCCAGCCCAGACAGAGGGACCTCTTGTAATTAGGCTCGCGCTGGCAGAGGCTTGGGCTATTCACCCAGCTCAAGTCCACTTTACTCCCTGGGTCCACACTCAGGTGGCTAGTTCAAGCTTCCCCTGTGGCGTCCAGATAGCTACGTTTAGTGCATTAACACAAGCCCACCAGTGCAAGTCCGTCTCCCTGGGTTGTGCAGCTCACTCCCAGCTGCAGTGTAGACATACCCACCGAGGGACTGGAAGTAGAGCTGTACCCAGTGAGAAAGTTACACCAGCGTAGGCTCAGGCTCAGACTTGCTTGTGCTGTGTAACTCATATGACCGTTCACATTTTCTCTGGCCCCTTGTCTCCAGCTGAAGTTCATTTGATTTCTTGGTCATTCCTAGCTCCTCTGCTTGAAGGGAAAGTAAACAGATGTATTAAAATGGAAAAAGCCTTGAGAAATGCGTCCAGAGATAGCAAGTGCTATGAGCCTTATTCTGCTGAGGACCGTAAAATGAAAATGAACCTCCATGTGATGGGAGGAAAATTGTTTTGCAAGTGAAGTGCCTCCCACTCATAGATGTGATTTGGAAGAAGAAAGAAAAAGAAGAAAAAATTGTGACAAATAAAACACAAACACCTACACATGAGAAATTACCCAATGTATAGGATGTCTTCATGAGAGAAATACGCTGAAGCATGATCCGGTTTCTTTTGCCAGTGATCTCTAAGTATGGTAACCTGACTTCCAGGACTTTCTGCCTCAGGGGACTGGTCCTGCAAATCTTTGGGCATGTGTGTAACTTTTCACACAGGGAAATGCCACCCAAGTGTAAAATGACTCACATGGTTTTCAGGATCAGGCCCCAAATGTGTAAGAAAAAAACGCAGCTAATAAACTCAGCACTTTCTACATCCCTTCAAGCCAGGCGGCATGCGTGTCCCAGTCAAATTTTCACCTCTGAGCTGAGGGCACCATGTGACCCCTGGAGTTCAACTTTTCCTTATTTCAGTTCCCAGCGCTCAGCACTCACAACTGCTCTACTTCAGAATAAAAGCAGCCTGAATTCATTCTCCATTCCTTTTCTTTTTAAATTTTCACTCACTTAACCTGCCAGCACATTGTTAATGCTAGAAATGATTTTTAAAAAAAGAACTAGATAAATTCATGGAGGATAGGTCCATCCATGGGTATTAGCCAGGATGGCCAGCAATGGTGTCCCTAGCCTCTGTTTACCAGAGGCTGGGAATGGGTGACAGGACATGGATCACTTGATGATGACCTGTTCTGTTCATTCCCTCTGGGGCATCTAGCAATTGGCCACTGTTGGAAGACAGGATACTGAGCTACATGGACCTTTGGTCTGACCAAGTATGGCTGTTCTTATGTTCTTATGATTGCCTCAAGACGAAAGGTTCAGATCTGGCTTTTGAAGATAAAATTAGATGATCCTAATAGTCTTCAAATCTGTAAATCTATGTAGTGGACATCTCAGTCATAGAGGCCTTGATCATGAAAGGTGCCGAGTACCCTCAACTCCTGTTGACTACAAGCCCATCTCTAGAACAGTTACTCTTCTGGCTTCAATGGGGATTAAGCACTTCACAGGAGATAGTCAGATTGGGCCATATTTTTTTTTTCTCATGGGTGCACAAGCCTCATTATGCATATACTGTAATACACAGTGATGTGCTATAAAAGGTTGTAGATTTCACCATCAGCTTTCTGCAGGAGTGAAATGGCCATTTGGTTTATTCAGTGTGGAGTAATACAACTATGAATACTAAAAGTTTTTAAGAAACCCGGCATATCCCATTTGGTTGGTATATGTTAATGAACAAGGGAAGACAACAATAGACAGTGCTGGAGAGAGACAATGGTGTGAGGTGGGTACAAGAAACCTAATAAGAGAATGACAACAATATGGGTTTGTCTGGAGTTTGCCATTATCACCTCAGACACTCTCAGCTGGCTGTCTTTAAAGATAGGCTTCTCTAGAGGAGAAAATGAGACAGACAGCCAAAAATTAGAGTTAAACTAGGCCAGCTAAAAGCAAATTCTTTTGTGAATCCAAAGTTGTTGTTTTTTAAATATTTTTAAACCTAACCCTTAATCAGCCAACGGGCCTTAATCACTATAGGCCTCTCCCTGAGCTGGTATAAATCAGCCTCGTTCCATTGACATCAGTGGAGCTGTGCCAATTTACACCAATTGAGGATCTGGCCCTGTGTGAAATTTTCTTCTCAGCCGAAGATTGACAAGAACATTGCGCTCTCCCAGCTGCGCATTTTCCCATTTTAATTAGGATGCAAACACCAGCAGGAAATGTTTAGCTCCAAATCTATCGTCTCTGGGCCCCATTAGCTGATCTGTCTTTCCTAGTGGACATCTTGTAGCATTGAAATGAGACTGAAAGCTCCATTTTGTTCCAGTGGTGCACACCAGCAACTGGAGGCTTTGCTTAATATTCCTTGACGTGCGCCCTTAAGACCAGTGCAGGTAATCCAATGTTACTGTCAGAGGAGAAACCTGCTGAGAGCTTCAAGTTTACCTCCAAGTTAAGGAGGGAAGTAACAAGGTAACTGAAAAGCTTGAAATGCATAGAGCTGTAGATGGTGAAAAGTGACTTTTGTTAGCTATATTTCAACTTTTCTGTCAGGGGATTGTAACTAGAGTTGTACAAATAACTGATTTTTCAGTTTGCTGGCAGTTCCGAAAAATCCGGGGGAAATATTGTGTCATATCGACCCAAACAAAAAAATTTCACAGCACCGAAAAACTGAACATCTTTTGTTTCAGGTCAAACAAAATTTTGTATTTTGATTACGTCAAAACATTTCATTCACCCTGTAATGAAACATTTCATTTCAATTTTGAGTTTTTTACTTTTTAAAAATTATTTTAATTAAATTGCAGTAAATTTAACAGTAAAAAGTCATTTTGAATGGAGAAATCTAAATGTTTTCATTAAAAAAAAAATTTTTTTTAAATAGTCAGGGTTTTTTCAACTGAAACATTTTGTCAAATTCAGCACAACGTCAGAAAATGTTTCAGCTGGCCAAGTCTGTACTTTTCAGTGAAAAAAGTTTTGGCTGAAAAACGTCGCTTACCTCTAATTGTAACATTTACACCTATTCTACTTGTCTTAGGGCACTTCATCTTCACAATAATGCCTTGTACAGAAGATGAGGCCAAGCAATTTGAAAGTCCAGCATGTTATATGTTACCTTTTTAAAATCTACACAGGGTTTCCATTTATCTTAACAGTTGCAAACCCAGCCATCATGCTGGTGGCTTCTGATTGCACATGCCTTTCTGTCTCTCTTAATCCTCCTTTTTTCCTGCTTCTGCAGGATCCTTCTGAGTCTGGTAAATCTGCTATTGATTTAAGAAATGGATTTGTTTAATGTAGGTTCAGAAAGAAAAATTACAAATTTGTTGACATGTATTGCTGAGCCATTCTGGAGATCATGGACCAAATTCTTAGCTTATGTAAATGAAATCAGTGATGTTACATCAGTTTAGATCAGCTGAAGATCTGGCCCCTCTTCCTGTGTATGGTGATATTTATAAAGAATGTGTTTGCACTTTAAAGTGTTAATAAAGAGGCAACGTGGCTAAGAATAGGTGGGTGGGTGTGAAGCCACCATATCTCCTGTGCCATTTAAAACTTAGACTGGACAGTGAAATGTAGAATACACAGTGATCCTTATTAAATAGTTAACATTTGCCAACCACACTACAGTAGTTCCCAGTGTTTAGAAAAAGAAATAAATGCCGCATCCCAGCAAACAATCCTACATTGGCAGAGGGGTAGACAAGACCTAGGTCCTTTTCATCTTTAATTTCATCTGAATCCTAGTAAGTTAGTGGACACATTTGCGTTGTCTGGAAAGTGCAAAGGGACCCATTGAGATTAGAGTGCTGCACTAGTAGCAGCAACACAGCTGAAATCTTAGAAGAGTCCAGTTTTTCAGTAGAGGCCCAGGGAAACACAAGGTATAGCTACACTGCAATAAAACATCCCTGGCTGGCCCGTGTCAGCTGACTCAGGTTCACAGCGC